AGATATCTGAGTATAAGGGCTCTAGTCGGGGGAAGGAGGCTATGGGAGGGTGTCATCTGGGAAATGGGTGTATAGTCGAATGAGATGGTTTGGGTTGTTCTGTGTGATACACACATAAACACATACACACACACACACACAAATCAACAATTTTTTAAATGTATTATATTTGAGGAGGAAGCATGGAAATTTATGTCATATTAATTAGTAGAGGCAATAAACTTTACCATTGAAATCTACCCGATGACTTTATAGGCATACACAGGCGCCAAGGATCCAAGTGCAACCAATTATGACTAGTAATAATCAGATACATACAGATTAGAGATGCATGCGCCAACATCTCAGTGTTATTAGCAAAAACAATGAGTCTTTCATTAAGAAACAATATACTTTAAAATGAAATGGAGATCTTTTTTAAAGGTTAAAAACTCATTCAATTTTATGTCTTACAGGGCTTATACTGAGTTCAATATTGTATAACTATTAATTCAACAGTGAACCTAAAAATTTTATAGTCACTTTTGAAAGAGATGTATCTTTGCTGTGGAAACTGTTATTGAGTATGTCAAAGCTGTAATGAAATGCTTCTAAAACAATTAAAAAATTCTGAACTTCAAAAAAAATAAATAAAATACCATCATAAAACCTTGAATCTAAAATATTTCTCAGTTATTAATTTGAAAACCTCAAACATAGGTTCTTAATCTGGGTCCTTGGGTGGACTTCCAGTCGCCCATACTACAAGAAAAGAAAAGCATAGTTTTCTAGATGGTGTCTTAATGTGTCACCTAGCCCATGGTGCCCTTCAATTCACTATCCTCTTCCCTTAGCCTCCCGAATGCTGGGATTATAGGTATGTCTGATTTATATACACATTTTTTAAGAGTGACACTTTCTAGAAGAGAGTTCTTTTCATCACTTGTCTGTAGGCCCAATTATTCCCTAAAAATCTAAGAACCAGAACTTTACTACTCAAACCAATAGAGTCAACACCAAGATTCCAGAAGAGTACTTAAAAGAAACTATTCTACAAGTATAAACTTTAATATTAAAGAATGAACTTTTGTTTGTTTGAGACAGGGATCTCATTATGTAGCATTGGCTAGCCTGGGAACTTACTACGTAGACTAAGCTGGCTGCATTGCACTCACAGGAATCTACCTGCCTCTACCTCCTAAGTGCCAGGATTAAAGGTGTGGGCCACCATGTTCAACCCAGAATGAACTTTTAAAATATTTTATTTTTTTATGTGTACGAGTGTTATTGCCTGATATGTGTAAGTGCATCTGTGTCATACAGTGCTCATACAGTGCTGGCGGAGGTCAGAAGAGGGTGTTGGAGCGCCTGGAACTGGAGTTAAGAGGATTGTTAGTTGTCATGGAGGTGCTGGGAACCAAACCTAGGTCCATTGCAAGCGCAACCAGTGCTCTTAACCACTGAGCTATCTCTCCAGCCCTGCAGAATGAACTTTTAAAAACGGCCACCAAGGGCTAGAGAGGTGGCTCAGCAGTTAGATTGTGCACTACTCTTGTGGAGGACTCAAGCTTGGGTCCCAGCACCCATGTCAGGCAGGTCACAACCACCTGTATCTCCAGTTTCAGGGGATTCAATGTTTTCTTCTAGCTTCTGTGGGCACCTGCACTCATGTACACACACATACCCCATATACATAATTGGCTCAGCAGTTAGATTGTGCACTACTCTTGTGGAGGACTCAAGCTTGGGTCCCAGCACCCATGTCAGGCAGGTCACAACCACCTGTATCTCCAGTTTCAGGGGATTCAATGTCTTCTTCTAGCTTCTGTGGGCACCTGCACTCATGTACACACACATACCCCATATACATAATTAAAGATAGAAATCTTTAAAAAACAAAAAGAAAACAAAAAAGCCCTGCTACCAACTTACTAGTGATAATCAAAACATTAGGCTCGAAACAGAAATGAAAGCCTATGCTGAATCACAGATGCCACGTGGTACGGAATCAAGGCCATGCTCAAGGGCATATAACACACAACTTCTAGCTACTTAATTTTATGATTATAGAATATTAACTTTACATAATATAGAACTGAACAAACAAGGAACAAACACTATGTTTACAACTCAAAATATCAGCTATGTCTTTGCTATGAATGATGAATACAATTAACACAAATAGTAAACTACAATGATATACAGTAATAAGTATATTATAATTTATCATGTGAATCAGGCTATCTCATCCTCTACATGATTGACAAAGAACTAACTACCAGCAAGATAAATTATTTATGCACTATTTTCAACTAGTACACACAAAGTCTAGGCCATCCTGAGGAAAATATCCAATCAAAAAAAAAAAAGCAAAAACAAAAAACAAGCTTACCTGGCATGTTCTTCAGGAAGTTTTCTTTGTCTTTGCATATGGAACATTAGATCTCCTCCATTTACATATTCTATGACAAAGAATAACCTGAAACACGTGAAGCCAAGTCAAAGTAAGGTACATATCTTTGAATTTCAGACACAACAGAAGACGTGATAGTATACAGGGCATTCTTGTTGATTTAACCTTTGAAAGATGCCAAGAATGTAGTGGAACAAAAGGCATCCAGACACAGGAAAGCAACCCAGTGGTAATACTTCTGTAATCTAATGCTACTCTAGAGTAACACCACTTATCCCAGCACTATTCTGACACTTGACATTTGCTAGATGAGTCATTTTTGAGTGTCGCTTGAGGTAAAGAAGTTAAGATTTTTCTCCCCTAAACTCTAGGAGGCAGGTGGGGCATCCACTGCTGTTAGTTATGATCTCTCTCCCTTGGTTTCTTTCTTTTTTGCCCATTACTGTCTCAGTGCCAAACTGTACCACTGACTATAGCAGGAAGTCTTAAGACTCCTTCTCCTTCATTAATTATGAAAGTCAGGTTTTTCTGTAACATGCCAAAATGTATATGAAGCCCAGTGCTCATCCCACTAGCTTTAATTCTTACCTGCTTTCTGTCTGGAAGCAAGAATGCAGCCCAACAAGAAAAGGATGATTGGAAGCCTGCTCAAAAACATGCTTCTCTGTCTGTACCCAATCAATATCCTATTTTAAAATATCAAAGAAATCTGTGTCAAAAGAGTGAAATGAAATAATCAAAACTAAAGACAAATTGGGTCTTAGCAAGAGAACTGTCACAAATGAAGTTGTTAACTACTTATACTAAATATCAAAACGTCTCATCATGCAACAAAAATTTGTATAAGAAACAATACCACCAATACAGCATCCAGTATTATGTAGTCTCTCTCAAACTAACAAAGCTCAAGTACTTCCCTTGAGAATAATAGGCTTTGATTTTACTTTTAGAAATAACAGCTCACTTTAAATATCGCCTGCATATGTAAAGCATACATTTAGAAAAATAGACCAATATAGCAATAACACACACACACACACACACACTTTTCCTCTGAAACACTACGCTCAAGCAGTTCAAAAGCTTTAACATTAAGCTCATTTCCTGTATGCCTAGTATAGTACTAGGGATTAAACCCAGGGTCCTGAGCGTACAGGAGTTTGTCTAGAAGCAAAGAAACATCACTGTGCTTACCTCATCATCATTGACGAGCTCTTTTTTCACAACTTTCATTGCATAAATACGATCTGTTTTTTTTAATCGGACCAATAATACTTTGGCATAACTTCCTCTCCCTATAACGCGGAGCAAATCAAAGTCCTGGAGACCTAAACTAGATGACGCTTTCCCGCTTTCCCTGGTGTTCATGGCCTGTTAAGAATTGAGAACATTCACATCAAAAGGTTATGCCCACAAATATTTTGCATAGTACACTTCTAACATCTTGTTAAAACTGTAAATGATTTAAAAAAAATTTTAAATATCTTAAATATTTTAAGTTCTTAATTCTGTTCTTATGTATTCTAAACTGTATAATCTATAAGAGACAGGACAACTTATGTTTTAAGGGTGGTAGCAAGGGACAGGGAGTGAAAATCTGAGGAATGTTAAAAATAAGTCGAAAAAAAATAAAGCCCCCTTTCTTTTATGTGCATGAGTGTTTTACTTGCATGTACATAAATACACCACGTGTGCAATGCCTGTGTAGATCAGAAGAGAGCATCAGAACTCCTAAAACTGGAGTCGAGGTGGTTGTGAGCCCTCATGTGGGTGCTGAGAACCAAATCCGGGTCCCCAAGAGCAACCAGTACTTCCTAATCGCTGAGCCATCTCTCCAGCTCCTTAAAGGATGTTTGTAAAAGGAACTGATAACCCTTAGGTACAAGTTTCATGAAGATGCAAGAATTTAAAAATGACCCTGACTTTCCTGACTGGGAGACTGAGGTACTGCTGACAAGAAAAAATAAAGTGGGTGGAAAGGGACAGACTGACAGTTGTGCATCTCTATTTGGTTTTCCATATGGGCCTGCACAGTTACAACAGGGAATCAAGATGAAAGAGGCTGCTAGAACCTTGAGAAACACAGTGAGTTAGGGAGCCGCCACGCAGAGGTCTGGGATCCGACAGGCAGGAAACAGATTTGAGGCAGCTGAGTTAACATAGACATCCTTTTTCATACTTTGCTATTAGATAATATGGGATGGCAAAGTAAGCCTTATAATTCATTCACAGTTAAAAATCTGTTTCTGCCAAATTATACAGAAGATTAAAAACAATCTTTTATTAGAAACTTTCACAATTTGAGAAATATAAAGAAATTAGAAGCACGAAACTGAAAAGAATAGTATAAAACTGAAAACTAAGGCAAAACAGCTCAAAAGAACGCTCATGGGGGATAAAGCGATAGCTCAACGGCTAAGAGTACTAAGAGTACTGGCTGCTCTTCCAGAGGACCCAAGTTAGATTCCTAGCACCCACACTGGGTGGCTTACAATGACTGCCTGTAACTACAACTCCAGGGGATCTAACTCTCCTCTGGCCCCCAAGGACACCTGCACTCAAATGCACATACCCATACATATGTACATAATTAAAAATAACAAAAATAAATCTCAAAAAAGAATGATCATACAGATGTGAAAATTTAGGAATAATAATTTGATTTGATAATACTAATAGACTCTTATTAAAGGAAATACTAAATTCAGTTCTTCAAGAAGAAAAAAATTCAGGAGGGAGGCCAGAGACACAAGGAATGAACAATAAAAAGGGTAAAATGTGGGAAATCTAAATAAGGAACACTGTTTAAAAACACCATGCATACATACATAACCTTAGAATACTAAAAAATAGCACCAGGAAGGCAGAAGGATTGAATTTAAAGTGCTAAGTTCAAGGCTGGAGAGATCACTCAGTGGTTAAGAGCATGCACGTACTGCCCTTGCAGAGGACCAAGTTCAGTTCTTAGTACCATGTTGGGCAGCTCACAACCACTCCAGTTCCATGGGCATCTGACCCTTTTGGCTTGGCAGGCACTGGTACTTATGTACACATACCCCCACACAAACATAGACATACATAATTTAAAATAATAATAATAAAGCTGGGCGTGGTGGCTGGCACACGCCTTTAATCCCAGCACTCGGGAGGCAGAGGCAGGGGCAAGTGGATCTCTATGAGTTCAAGGCCAGCCTGGTCTACATAGTGAGTT